GCTGGGTGGGGGCCCCACCGAGGGCAGCTGGTAACGATGGGGCATTTCTTGAATTTACACTGAGCTCCCCGTAGCAGAAAACAGGCCTGCCTCACCCCGGCCTGGGGAGGAGAGGGGCACTCCCCAGCAGAGGGGGAGGAGGCTCACCAGGCCTTCTGGGTTTCTCTTGCAGCAAGCTCTACGATTTCTATCACTACTTCTACATGGTGACAAACACGCTTTTCTACGTCAGCTCAGCGGTGACCCCTGTCCTGTACAATGCTGTGTCTTCCTCCTTCAGAAAGCTCTTCCTGGAAGCCCTCGGCTCCCTGTGTCCAGAGCACCACCGCATGGAGCCATTCTCCCCGGAAAGCCCGGAGCCCCGCCCCAGTGGATACAGCTTCCGGCTCTGGGGCCCCCCTAGGAAGCCCGGCCTGGATGACATCGAAGAATAAGAATAACAATGACAGCCCAGGCGTCGAGCACTCAGACAAGCAACCTCACCACTAATAATCCAAGCCGTGCGGTCAGGCGGGTCTACACGGACCGCAGTCCTGCCCCTTACAGCCGTGCAACGGCAGGCGAGTCACTTACACCTGTTGGCTTCCGTCCCCTCACCTGTATGATGGAGACGGTTAATAGCCATCTCCTAGCGTTGTCTGAAGATTGAATGCCTAGCACGGTGCCTGGTGTATAATATAGGATATGTTTCACTGGCATTATTTCTGTGGTTCTTGCTGCTATCATTATTATTATTATTATTATTATTATTATTATTATTATTATTATTATTATTATTATTGCTGTTTTCTGCTCTCCTGAAAGTCCACCACCTTCTGCGGTAGTTTTATGCTCAAAGTTTGTAGGCTCAGATGTCCTTTGGAATTTCTGCCGAAGACAAAGCAACAGTGCCCAGAAGCTGACTGCACTGTTGAGTCACATGAGCTGTAATAAAATCCTGCAGCCTGTCCCAATGAGGGGGTGGCTGATCACAGTGACAAGAGCGTTCTGCGGGCTCTGGAAAGCCTGGGGTCACAAGCTTCCCTCCCTGGCCTGTGGCCTGCGTGTCTGCCTGACGTGAGGCAGCGGGGCAGCCCCTGGGATGACGGCAGCGCTGCCGGCTCTGGAGAGAAGGCCTGCAGCTGGCTCTGGGCAGCACCGTGTTAGAAAGAGCCGCACTTCCATTCTTCCTGTCACCGCAGGCCTCAGTCCCGCTGTTTCTGCCCGGGGCCACGTGCCCCTGGGTACTGCCAGCCTTGCTCCTGAAGGCTTATGAAGCCTGAGCCCTGAGAGAAAGGGTGATTTTTCCTATGAGCGTCTAGAAGCAGTTGAGGCCACAGGTCTGTGAAGGGGCAGGAAGAGAAAAGTGGGGAGCAGAACTGAAGGACCAAGGAGAGGTTCTTTCTGATTAACCTTGGTGACGTTTCCCTGAACTGTGTCCATCACCCACCTGGTCCCCAGTCCTGGAACCAACACATGCACACACACCCCATGCACACAGACACACCACACACGCCACACATCACATGCACACAACTACACACACACACACACATCCTGGATGGGTGTCCTATTTGAGGAGAGAAGCCAGAACGGGCAAAGGATGACAGGAAAGGTGGCCAGGAGGAGGAAGGGCCATCTATGTACACAGCCTGGGGTGCGGTGCAGTGGCTTCTGTGTGACTGGGAGGTGACTGTGTCAGGCCCCCAGCCCCAGAGCCCTTGAGAAAAAGCCAGAGGCAATGACCGCATACTTCAGAGACAGCCTCCACAGAGCCCACCCACCTTGCCAGGGGGAGAAGGGCCCTGGGAAAGGAGCCGCGCAGCGCTGGTCTCAGGGACCTCCTGGGTGGCTCTGAGGCTCGGCCTTGAGATGGTCCCATGGACAGAAGAGGACGGGCTCCAGACAGGCAGGGGTTGGGGGGGTGCCCCTCTCTGCCATGAGTGGCTGGGCCCGGAGGCACTGGTGGAGGGTGGATGTGGTCTGATAGTAAAATCCCACCTCTGGAGCTCCCGAGTCCAGGCGGGGATGGCCGGCATCCCCACTTCATTCTGGCAGAAGCTCACAGAGAAGGCTCACCAGGAAGCAGCAAAGAGCAAGCAGCAGCTCAAAGCACAAACTCCAGTGAGGCTCCCGAGATGGCGCAGGAAGCAATTAACCGCGGGGCCCAGGTGGCCTCGAGCTCGGGCCCTGCCCTGGGGTAGATCTGGGTTGACGTCACATCATCACTTAGATGAGGCCACATTGGTCCAGTGAATCTCCCCAAGTCTGTTTTTCATCTACAGAAGGCCTTAAATCCAGTTTTAAAACATAATTCAGATCAGCAAACACGTACTTGGATTTGAGGCGACTTATAGCCCTTAATTATCCTTCTTCACAGAAATATATGTACATTTTCCTCCAGAAATGTTAATGTCTTTGATCAAGGAATGCCCCAAGCTCCTGCGTGACAGCTCAGCTGCCATCACCAACAGCACACAAGGGGCAGCTTAAACAGCAGACATTATTTTCTCCCTGCTTTGGAGGCTGGGAGGATCAAGGTGCCGACACGGACAGATTTCATTCCGAGGCTTCTCCTGGCTCGTGGGCAGCCGCCATCTCGCTGTGTCCACGTGAACTTTGTGCATGTGTCGGGGGACAGCAAGCCCTCTGGTGTCTTTTCTTAGAAGGCCATTAATCCTAATGGATCAGGGCCCCATCCTTATGATCTCATGATGATGAACTTACTTAACCAGTAATTAACCTTAATTACTCCCTTAGAGGTCGCATCTCCAGATGTGGCCACACTGCGGGTTGGGAATTCAACACAGGGGTTTTGAGGGGACACCAACATTAAGTCCATAACATCCAGTTAAGGTTGTGGTAAGTGGTATATGAATCACATTACTTTTCAGAAAGTCCACCTACTCTGAACCGCAAAATAAGTCTGACCCTGAGGGTTTCAGAGTCCGGGACTGTGCATCTATGGTACCCAATAATTAATTTATAACGATGAAATGAGAAGGAATGCAAAGTCCCCATCAAAGCGCCAGGCGTACAGAAAATGCTCAATAAATACTAGCTGTCACTATTGTCACTGTCACCACCTAGACCCCAAACTTGGTAAAACCCAGTAGGTTCCCCTTACAGAAGGCTCGATGAATAGCGAAGAACAGAGACAAAGTTTAAAGCAAACAGGTTGAGAAAACAACTTAAGAAAACATGAGCACTTAGATAAGGAGTTACTTTACATATTAGCCAAAGATCTCATGCAAATCATTAAGGAAAATACCAAGAACTCAAAGGCCACGAAACGTATCAGAGGGAATGTGTCTGGCCTCAAAAGTTCCCAAAGAAACGACGATCAAATAGCGATGCAATATTTTATAGCTAATCATTCATTTAAAATGTCAACAAGGGCAAATGGTGCCACCAGAAATCAGGCGTGACGGAAATGCTCTTGCAGCGGAAGGAGACCAAATCGGAGAAACTGCCTGGAAAGGAAATTGGCAAGAAATTTTGGAAGCTACAGAAATGTTCATACACTTAGAGCGTATATTTCAATTGCTGGGATTTTCCATTAAGGCGATTTGCTGAGGCAGGAAAGCGTCTCTGGGGGCGCACAGGTGAGATGCCCTGCTCTTCGGGGGGCCTTCACCAGCTGGCTCTGGACCAACCACATAAATCACTCACAACACCGGCCCCTCACGCCTAGGCTGGAAACTGCTGTGACCTCCGTCATGAAGCAAAGAGAGGTTAAGACAGGTCTTCTCCCACGACCGGGAAACTGGAAGGCTGAAGTCCAGGCCTGGGACTCTGGACCCGCCACTCGCTGGTTTTACCACACTGCTTCCCAGGAGCCTGATGACACAAGATGATAAAAGCTAACAGGCCCAACCTTAAGAAAGTAAATCACGACTATCCACTCAAACAGATCCTACGTGTTAGGCCACCGTAAATGAATAACAAGACTTCTTTAGCAGCATAAACATATTGTGGTTGTGCTATTAAGTAAAAAGGACCACAGAACACAAAATTCCATTATGCACAAATTATTCAGCTACAGAGAAAGGGTCTAGAAAGAAACACTTAGAAGATGGTGAGTTGGCTCTGGAGGCAAGTGACCCAAGAAGCGGGGTGGTTTCTCCCGCCTTGGTCCCTGAGTTGAGCGCAGTGGCTGGCACGTAGCAGACCCTCAGAAATGTCTGGTGGGAAAGGACGGTGAAACCTGTTCTTTTGGTTTTTCCTAATTTGTTGGTATGATGTTTTTTTAAAAACATGTAATAAAGATTTACTGACTAGATAAACAGCTGTTTGAGGGGAAAACACTCCTGATCCAGGAAAGGGCACATCAGTTATTTTCTATGGGTGGCGTAGTCTTGCTGGTGTAGTAACATCTGAGTAACAAATTTCAAAGAGAAACCGAGTTCCCCGGCTGTGGTCCCAGGCAGAAGCCGTGACTAACCGCCTGCAGCCCGGGCTCAGAGGGCCTGGAGGAGGGGCCTGCCTGTGCCACTTACAAGCTACTTCCTTCCCCTGCTTGGGCCTCCTGTCCACATTTGTGAAACAGACAGTATAACAACTATCTTCTGGGTTTTGAGAATTAAGTGACAGCGTAAATGTGAAGAAAAAAACACACTTGGAAAAGTGGAGTACGTAGCACCTAAAACAGCTCAATAGGCAGTAGCTGCCATTAATATAAAGGGAAGCTCTTGGCTCCTGAATGCAGACTGTCTGTACGATTCTGTATTTTTTTAAAAAAATGAGCTATATCTACTTGTGTGGCGGGTTGGTCTATTTGCTTGGGCAAGATCAAGAGACCAAATAGTGCTCCTTTCCTAAATATTAATCTTATAGCCATGACTACATCATACCAGGGTCCTAGGAAGCCATCATCAGATTTTGAAAGATGAAGTATGCGTTGCCCACCTGTATTAATTTTCTAGGGCTGTGTAACAAAGTGCCATAAAGTGGAGAGGGGTGCCTTAAAACAACAAATTTATTCTCTCATGGTTCTAGAAGCTACGAGTTCAAAATTGAGGTGTCAGCAGGGCTGTGCTCTCCAAAGGCCCTGGGGGAGAGCCCTTCCTTGTTTCCTGCCCCTGGTGGTTCCCAGCAATCCTTGAGCCCCCTCTGCAGTTGGTTCATCACTCCAGTCACTGTCTCCATGGCCCCGTGGTGTTCTGCCTCTCTCTGTCTTCTTCTCATAAGGACACCTGTAATACTGGATTAGGGGCCTACTCTACTCCAGTATGACCTCATCCCAACTTATTACATCAGGAACAACCCTCTTTCCAATTAAAGTCACACTCTGAAGCACTGGGGGTTAGGGCTTCAATATTCCTTTGCGGGGGACAAATTCAAAACCCCCCAAAACCCACCTTTCTTGGTAGGGTGGATAGCACCCCTAGGAAAGGTCCTTTCATACAGCAAAAGATCCTAAGAGGGAAAAATGGGTGCTCGCCAGAGTTTTAGAAGAAAGCCAAAAGGAAACTGGGACAGTCTATTCGGAGAATGATAAATGCAGTTACAGAATTCCTGTTTCTTCTAGAGACCGGAAGGACTTTAAAACTCTGCACTGGCCTTTTGTTAATTAAAATGCTAATTTCTTCTGAGCTGGAAGTCTGCCTGAGCAAGTGGACTGAAAAAGAAACAGCAGCGGTGGACACTGGGCATGCCCTTGGTTCATGGTCTTCCCTTAAAGAGCTGTCTACAGAATCTGAAGCCAGACCTGGGAGGCTTAATGCAAACTTTGCTGAAAGTGGTTTCTAAACCTTAATGCTGAGATTGCCTAGACTCTGGATGGTACGTGAGGTGGTGTAGCTGGGATATGCCTGAATCCAGCACCACCTCCAATAGGCAACCAAACACGCACCCGATAAGAAAACTTTGGATCGGTGTTTTTACTGTACACAGAGGCTTAGGAGCCAACACTGCCTTCTAATGTACAGCATTTAGTGGAAGCAAATTACTCAAGATGGAAAGCAGCTGTGATGTTAGTGAAACCATCCTTAACACTTGCAGACATGAATCTAGCTTTGTTCTGTCGCTTGATAGCTATGTGATCTTAGACAAGTCACTTAGCCTCTCAGAGCCCTAGTTTCTTATTCTGTAACATGGTCCCAATGACATCTACTGCAGAGTGTTATTGTGTTGATTAAATAAAACAATGGACAATTAGTCATCTAGGAAAATGCCTGGCACATTGTAGGTACTCAAAAAAGTATGCTACTCACTGTTGCTGACTTCATAGCTAACAGAGTATCCAGGGAGCTGGGTGACTTGGCAAAGGAACCAAGGTATGAACCCACGTCTCCTGACTTCAGATTCCACGCCCTCTCTGTCACATCCTGCGATGAGAACTCTGACATCCATATCAATGCAGTTTTTGCAGCATGATTTCTCGTCCTTTTTTGCAAGAGCCTTAAATTGCTGGAAGTATTCAGGAAAAAGAATCAGTTTCTTTTCCTGGTGTGCACTTACTCTTTTTATCTGGTTTGGGGGTGACTGTTACCTGGCCTTGCAGAAGACCAGGCTTCCACATTTCCCAATGCTCTGGGATAGTTTAGTTTATTGTGGTAAAATTCACATAAAATTTACCACTAGTGACATTTAGCACATTCACAATGTTATACAACCATCACTACTATCTAGTTCCAGAAAACTTTCTGGAATTTTTATTACACAAGAATTATGTCTTTCAAAGGTTACTGTAGACCAGATATGTTACTGTGTCAACCCAATTCTCATTTCTCTTGGTCTTCTTTCTCTATTTCTGAGAGAGATGTACGAGTCTGTGTTTATGACTGCACAAGTTACCCATTCTGCTCACATTTCTCACAGTTCTGGCTTTATATCTCATAGCAGCGTTGGCATATCTACAAAGCTTGGGTAGAACTTGGAAATTTCACTTAAAATACTTCATTGCCTATTTAACTTTTAAATATTAAGTCCTATTCTGATTAGCTTTCTTGGCCCAATCTGAGAAGCTCAGTCTGTTACGTGACTTTAACCCATTTATAATTATTTCTTCCTTCTAGCAGCTACTCTAAATGCTTTTAACATATTTAAATGTTCCTTTTCACTCATGTTCATCACTCCTGCCCTATTAAACCTCGAAGTTTAGCTCAGCTGGACTCATTTTATCAGCTCCTCCATTACTGACCACTCCCACCCCCAGTTCCCACGCTGGGATCATCTAAGATAGATGCGCATTTCATAAGCACCTAGTATTTGCTGGGTATAACCATGGCTCTGGGAACAGAGCAGTGAACATGTTCTATACAATTTCTATTTTTGTGGAGAGAAACAAACAAACAAAAAAGACAGCTAAACAAATAAACTGTGTTCTGTGAGCAGGGGCTCAGTCAGGGATTACCTCACTGAGGAGGTGGCCTTTGAGGAGGGCTCAGTGGCCAAGTGAGGGAGGGATTCAAGCAGATGGGAAGAGGGAGACACTCCAGGCAGAGAAATGACAGGCCCGAGGTAGGTGCTGGCCTGGCCGTAGCCAAGCTGGTCCCGGAGGGCCAGGCGGCTGACGTGCAGTGAGCGAGGGCGAAGTGAAGGGTTCTCAGAGATCAGGGGAGCTCCTTTGTGCTGCCTTCTTACAGACTTTTTCAGCTGTGCCTTCCAGCTGTCTGTTTCACTCTTGACCTGGTCTATTTCAGCTGCCTAGTGAGGTTTTTGTCTTAATTTCTAAGATCTGGAATTAATCATTTTTTGTTCTGGATACAATAGAATCTCACTTTTCCCCTGACTTTAGTTACACCTGTTTTATAGGATTCTGTTTGCTTTACTGACTCTTTACTGAGGTCATCACCTCTGACTGTATAATGTTTCCTGCTTATTGTTACGAGTTTTCGTTGCGTGTTTATTTGTGGACTAGGGAGCTCCTGTTTGCTATTAACTGCCTTGAGAGACTGTGGGGACAGGACCATGCCTTGGAGGGGGTGGGTGCCAACGGCTTGTCTTCACAAAGGCCTGGGCCCTGTGCCTTCCCCCTGCCAGAGGTTCCACTCTCTGTCTGAGCCCAGGTTGGTGGGGGGTGCGGAGTGGGGCAGGAACAGCTGGGAGGGACCGAACAGCCAGACTGCTCCAACTACTTCCCCTGTTCCTCACCCTGACAAACGCCCAGGCCCCCTTCCAGCTTCTTTCGTCTCTGTGACACTCAGGGCGTCCCCAGAATCACCCTCCTGTGCGGCAGGCTTCTCTGCATGCTTTGAGCTACTGTTTCATACACTTCCATTTCTGTCCGCCTCTTCTCTTTCAGGGATTCCTCCACATGTTAATATACTGTCACTTTTACAGATTTGCTCTTTTTTCCTTTTCAAAACTGTCCTTTGTTTCGTGCCATGAGATTTTAAGCAGACAGCCCCCGGAGACCACTGGCCATACTCTTTCCTCACAAAACAACACAATTCATTCCCACCAAAGCAGCAATAAATGCATCATAAATTTTATTTATAAGGCTGGAACAGACAAGAATATTAGTTCGGTTTTTTGTTTCAAGTTTAAATTAACTAATAAAATGGGAACTGCAGCCCAGAAGCTGCTATTTACAAAAGACAAATAGAACTAAAGGAAGTAAGTTTTTATTCCAAAATAGGAATAAGGACATATACAAAGTGATCACTTTATAAACATTGATCTAAATCTTTTATACTCATGAACTTTTCTTTTTTTTTCTTAGGGAAGAAAAGATCGATATGAACTCTTTGGCATCATCTTTTAAAGTAATTTCTTCTTGGATGGTGATCCATTAGAGTGCTTGTGAGATGGATGGATAAGAGTGCATTCTGCTGATTCATTTCTGAGTATCTTTAAACTTTTCCTTTGGTTACGGGCCATTCCACAGCAGTGCGGTGCAGGGGGCAGAGGGGCCCTGGAGTCCAGATCCAGGTCTCTGCTTCTGCTTCTCTCCAGCTGTGTGACCTTGGTGAGGTGCACTCTCTGCATCTCAACCGTCTCATCTTTCAAACGGGGAGAATGATTCCACCTACACAGGCTGTTGGAAGTGTGAAGCGAGAGCTTAACTGTGAAAGCACCTGGCCCGGCTTATAGGGGGCGCTCTAATACGCTGGCTTTAAAAAACATCCTAGAAGGAAAGTGAGAGCGAGAGCGTGAGCGTCAGGGAGCATCCCTGCTGCCCTGTCTGTCCCCCTGCCTCTCCAGTCAGGGACCAAGCATTCACAGGAGAAGACAAGCTATTTAAGGAACTGAAAACGGAGCTTCAATAAATTAGAGTCAGAAGTCTAATTCTTATCAACTATTTTATATTATCGCTTTGGTTGTTTTCACTGTTTGTTTCAAGTAAGCCATTTGGTCCTCTTTCCTTTGTAAGGCAAATTCTATATCTTAAGATCAACCTCTGTAACCCTAATTTCCTTCCTGAAACCCTTTTAGTTAAAAAAAAAAGTTTCTTTTCACGTTTGCCCTTTCTAAGAGGCAGGGTATTTACCCTGTGCTGTTTTAATAGGATCGCATTTGCTTTGAAGGGAAACTATTTGTTTTACTTTATTAAACTTGATGCCTTTGGGCTAGCTTCTAAAAGAGCAAACTTACATATTCTTATTAAATGACCTACTTCGTTTTTTCTTGTCTCCAGCCTTCACAGTTAAAATGTTCTTTTGGAATATTGCATTGTAGGAGAGTATAGGGAAATATACGTAGCCAAAATCTATCCATCATCCGAAATGCTGGCACCTCTACAAGATAATCCAAGAGTGACCCTTCAGAACTAAGAGCAAAGTCAAGTGTGTCCACGGAAGCGAATGGATGAGGTGATGGTAGGCAAAGCTTTGTTCTTGAGATGGACTTCGACGGAGCCCAGGGCAATGGGGTCTGGCCCAGAACCTAGGAGTCTTGGGTTTGAGTTCCCGTTGACCATCCACTTATCCCATCACTCTCGGTAAGTCTCCATCCATCTCTGGGCCATGTTCCCGTACCATGAGGGGGTTGCCAACAGTCTTGGGGGCCTGTCCCGGTCCAGACACCCCATGGTTCGAATTCTTCCTTTAGCCTCAGCAGGGTGAGGTTCTGACGGCGCCGCTCTCAGGCGTGTCTCCCTCAGATGTGTCTCCCAGTCAGAAAAAAGAGCGGCCGGTCCTCCTTCGCGTTGGCAGTCTGGAATTCGTCTCGCAGCCGGAACTGCCACTCATCCTCCAGCTCCAGGCGGACAACTGTCTGGCGGAGCGAGTTCCGGTCCTGACAGATCACACACAAGGTCGCACCTGCGTGGACAACGGCAGAGGTGTGTGAAGAAAAGCGGGGAGTTAAATCCAAAGGAAAGCTACTGCCTGGATTCTATCTGCAATCACAAAATACGATGCTGCTTGACAGGGAAGGACCAGGTGTCCGAGTGGTGTCTTGTTTCCTTGGGGATGCTTCATAATCTTAGCAAGAAAGTGAGATTGTGGTTTGGCAGGTCTGGCAGATGAGACTACATGGAACCAAGACATGGTGACAAAGAAGTGAGCAGAGGAGGAGGACTGGAAGGAGACAGACTTGCAGGGTCACAAACCAACACCCGCAGCTCCAGCCCTTGGAGGGAAGGGCCCCGCCCAACCCCACCTCACAGTCTAACCCTCCCTCGACATCCTTCTGAGCCGGCCACCCGCCCAGTCCCCCGCAGCTCTGACCTCTCCCATCTGCCGGCCCCGTGAATGCTCCCTCCTCTTGAGCCCTAGAAGACAGCCACACATCGTCATGTGTGTTCACTCCTTCTCTCTACCTCCCTACTTACATGTCCTCGCCTCCCATTAGACAAAATGTTCCCCAAGAGCAGAGAATGTGGTGAAAACCTCCTACTATTTCCCCAAACCTCATGCAGGGCTGGTGCTCCCTGAACATCTGGGAGAGAGGAAGGTTCGAATAAAGACCGACGAAGGAGAAGTGAAGACTGATTAGGGATCCCGGCTGGACTGGAAATGTAATTTTCTGAAGTCACACAGAATGAATGTCTGTCCCTCTCCACCACTCTAGCATGGAAACACCTGCAGAGGGAGAAAGACTAGACTAGAGGTAACGATGCAGGCAGCACCCCCAGACAGGGAAGGAGAACTCATCCACCAAGACGAAGAGACGCCTGAGCGGGTCTGCATGCTTATGCCAGGGATCTGGACTGAAAAGCAACACAAGCGCTGAAAGTACCTACTAATATCATCTAAAAGTGGGGGACGTGTCTTGTCTCTACCCAAACAGGTGGAGGCGAAAGAGGGCTGCCCTTGGATCCCACCGCAGCCCTCTCCTGCTTCCTGGACAGTCAGTGAAGTCACGATTCCTCTCTGAGCCACAGTTTGCCCGTCAGCAAAAAGGACCAGGACCAGACGTCACCTTGGGAGGGGTGCCTGGTGACGACAGTCACTTAAATCATGGTAAGAGGAGGGGAAGTTACCTTTCAGAAAATGAAACTTTTTCAAAAAGCTAGCTCCCACAAAAGAGTCACAGAGGTACAGCAGGAGTCCACTAAACGTGAGGTCAGAGCAGCTGACATTTAAAGAGTGGGGCCTGGAGCTCACATAACACACAGAGATCTGAAAGAGAAGGAATCCAAGAGACAATGTCATTTTCCATGAAATACTCAACAACGTCATACCACGGCTCTGCATCTAACGAGAACTAACTGCTTGGCCACACTCAGGCTTTTGGGGGCCAGAAACAATATTTAATGTTATTTCCAAATCCATATCCTGAAAATCAATTCCAAGAGACTTATCCAGATTTATCTATTCATTAATTCACTTGAGAATCAGAAATGTTTTGGCATCAGAATTGGGTTTGATGCCCAACTTCTTATATTGGGGCAAAGCACTTCAACTCTCTCAGCCTTTATCTTACCAGCTGTAAAGTGAGGCAATACTGGAGCCCAAGCATTGAGTAGTTGTAATTCTGAATCCTGGATTCCAGCATGCCTGTTTTAGGCATTTCTTGGATTTATGGACTCAACAGCGCCCCCTCTGAAAGGTACCTGAGACCCCAGGTTAAGGTAGCAGTCAACGGACAGCACCGGGTGGCCGTGATTCTTGAGGGACAGCGGGAAAAAGCGGTGGCTGTGGTGCTGGAGGAATTTCTCGAGCAGGAGCTGCGCGGGGGCCGCCAGGAATGTGTGCTTGCTGTCGGGGGCGCAGATGTACTGGGCAGGCACGATGGCCATGGGGTTGTCAGACACCTGCGTGGGGAAGGGTGGGCGTCAGCCTCTCCCCGCCACCCTGAGCAGAGGAGTCCTTTCCGAGGCTTCCAGGCTGCAGGGACCCTGGGGCGGGTGGCCCCGTGGCCAAAGGCTGAGCCATGGGACAGTGAACTGAGTTGAGAACACACACTTCCACAATAAAGTCTGCCGTTAAGAAAAATTCGGTTTTACTGAAGTGGAGCATATGAAAACTAACTGTGTGATCAGTAAGAATTGTAGATAATGATCACTCCCTGCAGAAAATTGACTGTCTGGTCTAGGAAAAAACAAGAGAATCCATGGACCTTGGGAATGTTCACCCAAATCTAGGGATGCAAACCTCTGGGAATGGTGAGCCTCCCCTTGACCTCCAGACCCCATTACCTTCTGCCCAGCCCCACTGCCGCTCCTCTGCACAGCCCAGCCATCTGAGCCCACAGTCTCTCACCCCATCGCCAACATACTGCCCATACTGCAGCCAGAGAGACTGGGGGCGTAAATGATACTAATCAAATTCTTCTCTGGACACCCTTCAGTGGGTTCCCCTTTCTCCTAGGACGTTCCCATGGTGGATAAGGTCCTGGCTACTTCTCCAGCTCATCTCTGCCGCTCTCCCCCATGGATGGGAGGGACCTTCAAGGCAGGGGTGGGCCAGCTCCATATGGGTTCTGGGAAGACACAGATCTCGGAGGGCTTGCTGCGACTTCACATCGGAACTTCCCAGGCCTGCCCAGCCAGCACCGACACACTCAGATCAAGTCTCTCCCCACTCGGAGGCTGGCTCAGGGACAGATGGCTCAGGGACAGAAGGCACAGCTATCAGGCCAGCCCATCAGTGCCATTCAGACAGTATTTGGCAGGCGCTGTCCCAGGGGCCCCAAGGAGAGCATGGCACCACACCTGCCCCCAGGAGCTCTGTCCAGCGAAGAAGCCAGACAAGTGAGCAGTGAGGACAGTGATGGAGGTGTGTGTGGGTAAGGGCGCACAGGAAGGTCGGTGGTGCGTGTGCGCTGGTGAGACACCCAAGGAACTGGTTAGAATAGGAGATCGGCAGGAAGACCCGGTGGAGTCTTTCCCTTCTCAGGGCTCCCAACTGGAAACCTTTACTCACACCACCCCATGGTCAAGCCCACCCCCTGACTCAACGGTGACAGGTGGCCCCCTCTCCAGTTTTCACCCTGCGCACCCACCTTGGACGTGATGTGGAAGGATCTGTGCCCGCCCACTGCGATCTGCTTCTTCATCACACTGAAGCGGTTGAACCGGCAGAGCAGGAGGCCGGCGCTGTGCACCCGCAGGTTGAAGTCCACGTCGTCACACGTGAACCTGCCCGGAACCAGGGGAGGGGGCAGGTCGGACTGGAGGCAGCTGACACCCGCAGCCAGACACGTGGAATGTGCTCTCTAGTACTGGGGGCTGGGACGGCGAAGCAGCCTGGTTTCTGCCCTAAAGATCTTCCTCTGGGGCACAGAAGGCAAACTAACAGGGAAAGCGGGGCCGGATGAGCTGCTCTGCGCTGGGAGAGCAGGGCGCACCTCAGGCTTACATCACAGAAGCACCACCACTTGTGGACCACACGCTACAGGCCAGGCACCCTGAGGGGGTTTAACGGATGCCACGTCATCTACTTGTTCAAAAGAAAACAACAAAACTCCCAGAGTAAAAATAGTCGCCGCTTTTTACATCTGAGGAAAACTAGATCAGAGATGGCAAGTCACCTGCCTTAATTGCAAAGGAGGCTGCCGGCAGGTCGGTCTGGCTCCAAAACCGACGCTCCTACGTGGGCCATCCCAGGGGTGTGCCCACCGCCTGGCTCGTGGACAGCTTGACAGACATTAGTGATTAGGTTCTTCGTGAGAGGTGAGAGCGTCTGCGATTAGATCCGCAGAGAGTGACACGGACAAATGACAGCTTCCTTCAGCACTAATGCTCATAAAAAGTGACGTGTTCCGAGAAGGAGCCAAGAAAGCAAGAGAAATAACACCTATTCGAATGTAAGTCACTAAATAAGGTATCATGTGAACTGATGAAGGAAGTTGAATGATCTTATGCAAATCTCCCCTCCACAAAATTATACAACAAAGATATCAAAAAAAATCCATGAGGGCTGAAAGCAGGGCCAGGCCAGTGTTACAAGCAGGAAGGCCCTGGTTTCGTTGGCCCTGCAGGGCAAAGAGGGAGCAGCCACCCACCAGGCGTGAGGCTGCCCCTCGCAGAGGGCCCTAGGACCACGGGCTGAGCTGACGGCCAGGGCGGGGCTGGAGCTCACCGGTTCTGGTTGTACTGCACGTTCTGGGTCAAGTCCACGTTCAGGACGATGAAGTCGTGCACGTGGCAGCGGGAGAAGGGCTCTTGCACCTCACGGCTTCCGGTCTTGCTGGACCACTTCCGCATGCCGATCAGGGCGTAGTGGGTGATGTTGGGGGAAGCCTCGATGTGCTGCATGATGTGCTTCAGGGAGACGTTTCTTTCCGACCAGGAAAATTCCCTGCTCGAAGGAGGAAGACAGACATCCCTGGGTCGGCATGCAGACAACAGCAGGCCCTCTGGACCGGGCCGGCCAGGGCGCTGCTTTCCCCGAACCTTCCACGCTGGGTGGGCTGGTGTGGACAGAACCCATCACAACCACCAGGCACCGTGCTAAGCCCTTCAAATTCATTATCACTGGTCCTCGCAGCAATCCTATGACATAGACACGTCACCCCCACTTTACAGATGAGGAAAAAGAGGCTCTGGATACCCTGCCCAGTGTCACTCAGCAGAGCTTGGATTGAACACTGCTGTCTGTCTCCAGAGCCCACATTCTCTGCATCCTGCAAACCACCTCGCGTTTCGGGGGTGAATTCCAGGTCGGGGAGTGGAGGGAAGGAGGCAGCATGTAAACCTCCCACCCACATGGACGGTGTCTGAGGTCAGTGAAGACAGTGAGGGCGACTGAAGTGACCCCAGGCTGGGAGCCAGGGCGACAAGAGTGCCGTCTGTGAGAGCCCAGACACGTGGCTTGACTTCTCTGCATCTCAGCTTCCTTTTCCCCAACGGAGGGGCTTACACTAAACTCTCTAAGGCCCCGGCCAGCTTTGACATTCCAGGACTTGAATTGCTGCTTCTGGATGAAATTCAGGAAAAGGCAAAGGGAAAAGCTCGGTTCTCTTTCCCATGACGGCCCCCGGCCAAGCTCTCGCCCTCGGAAGGTGGAGGTGAGCCCGGTGAAAAGACGGCAGATCACTGTCCTCCCCCCGTGCAGCTCTGTCATACAGAAACCACCTTTTTCTAGAAGACAGTGGTTATAACGGTCATTGCTACATTAGGTTTCCCTGACACGGAAGAGGTGCCTAACCTCAAGTTGTCTCTCCAATAAACAAGCCAAAAATCCTCAGAGGTCATCAGGGGGCCCTAAGCTGAGACACTCAGGGCAAAACCACCAAAAGGGACTATTTCACCCATGATGTTCAGATGCAGGTGTGTGTACTGAGCCTTTTCCACACCGCGCTGCTCCGTCGCCCGCCTCCGGGTGCACCATTCCTAGCTTAATCATTCCCCACAACAAACCTGAGCACAAGTATCAGTGCCCCTGTGAAAGATGGGGAAACTAGAACCCAAAAAAGAGTCATTTTCCGAAGATCACACAGCAAATAAAAATACAGCTTCACATTAGGAGTGAGGCTGTGGGGAGGGGGAGGGAAGAGGGACGGGAAGGTTCCAGGGGCGGGTGATGGTCTGTTTCTTCACAGGGAAGCTTGTTAAATGGATGTGTTCAGTTCATGAAAATTTCTGGGTATCATACTTTGCTTTTTGTATGTATTTTATACCAAACCTATATTGCATTATTTTCTGTATGTATTATGCTTCAATAAACTTCTAAAAGTTAAAAATACAAAACAAAGCTTGGAACATGAGCTCATCGCATGCAGGGCTCCATCCACCGCTCACCACGCCTTCTAAAGTAAGATGCCCCCTGGAGTCCTCAAAGGGTGGAGGAGAACCCCCCAGTGAGCATGTTCACTTGTCTCACTGGTGATGTGTGCGTGTGTTGGGAGTCCTCACCTGCTCCTCTCCCCAACACAGTCGATGTCCACCACGTTCCACATAACGCAGGAGTCATCTGAAATCACAATGAAAGGCCAGATGTCCTGCGGCTTGACCCCCAGCTCCTCCTGCCGGTTCCGCTCCAGCTCCAGGTTGTGGTAAGACAGCTCCTTGATCAGGAAATGGGCGGCACCTGAAATGGGCAAAGGTCCCCGACTCAGGTTAGTTGGACACCGACACCTGCCCAGGACAAAGCCCCAGGTAGAGTGAGACCTGCATGAAGACCCTGGCCCCAGCCCCGCCAGCTCCCAGGGGCCTGGTCTGCCTCCCTCGTCCACTCACTACAGGCTGTTGCCTTTGGAGAGGAAATTCGAGGGAAGAAAATTCCACTCTCCAATTTGCACACATATTCGTCTACCTCTCCTCGCTTTTCTAACAGCTGAGAACATGAATTAGATCAACCACCAAACATCGAAGGAAAGAGAATACTCAAAGAGATCAAAACAGCTTTACAAGCCAAAGAGCTTAATGAAAAACATTTAACTCTTTTATCTCTACACAGACAAAAAACTGTCTCTCCTCCTGCCTCTGCAAGGGTTAAACCACGAGCCACCGCAGCTGCTGACCTTCAACACACCCTGAAAGGAGTTCAGGGCGGAGATCAGGAATGAGGTGCTCTGTGCTCTGGGAAAAAATGGCAGAACAGGCCTGCAGATAGATATTTTTCAGATTTTATGAGCCCAATTTCTTGCATCATCTCATATCTAGAAAAGCACTAAAATCATTCATGGAGACACCTGCTCCTGGTGACTAGCAGCAACCTGCCAAAATGTGTGCCTGACTGCACGTATCCCCTCTTCCCCCAAACCACGTGTACACTAGCCTCCCCTTTTACCTCTTCGGAGCAGCTCCCCAGAGGCTGTCTCCCAGGCTAGTGTCCTCATTTTGCCCCAAATAAAACTTCACTCGCAACTCTCATGCTGTGTACTTTTATCAGTCAACATCGAGAACATTCTCTCAAGCCTCCACTCATGGAAACTTTACCGAGGAGGGCATGTTAAAAAAGGCTTACCAACTCCGGCGCTGTTGAAGATACTGGGGAGTACCAGCATGATGTGGTTGGGCCAGTGTTTCTTGTAAATGGCCATCTCATACTCCTTGACCACCAGCACATGCAAATGGCTGGCGCCATCCATAGCGTGGTACAGGTTAAAGAGCCCGTGTTCATGTCGGCCGGTGGTTGGAGTGAACGTCGGACTTTTTATGTATTCGTGACTCTGGAAAGTGTGGACACAATGAAGTCAAAGGTTTGTAAATATGGCCATGATTATTCCCTTCCCTTTGAAATGTGACTTTGCAGCCTGTTGCATCAAGAGATGGAGTCTATGTCCACACTCCTTGAATCTGGCTGAGCCTTGGGACTTGCTTTTATGGATAAAATGCAGTAAAAGTGACAGTGTGCCCATTCTGAGCCTGGCCTCCAGAGGACAGACACATTCTGCCCTCTCTCAGAACCCTCCCAGGCAGAAGCCCGAGCTAGCCGGCTGGAGGAGGAGAGGCCACAGGGAGCAGGCACAGGCATCCCACTGAGGCCACCGTCGCCCAGCCGGCACCCCTGCCGATGTGGTAATGAACTCCAGGCACAAGTGAGCGCAACCCAGCCCAGGATAACCATACCCAGCAGCACTGAGCCCAGGCTGCTGGCCCAGAGAATCAGAAACTAAATACTGTATGTTTGTTTGGGGATGATTTGTCAGGTAACAGAAACTAACAGGCATATATCATTATCCAAAGGCTTTACCCGCTCCTTAGCACCTAACACTGTGTTCTGAGTACACATTATTCCTTACTTAAATGGACTTACATTCCTCCATCACTTTGCCATGGAGCCTAGCTATGTAAACATTCAGGCTGTGAGTCTTTTATATAAATAACCAGGTTTTCTTTCTCTCTTTCCTCAACAACAGGTTCCGCTGGCCAAGCTAGGTCTCCCGTTCTCTCTGAATTCCTCAAGGCACTTGCTACAAAGCTGTGCACGCAGCTGGTGCTCATAAACAGTCCTGATGGGGACTGGCTGCCAAAGCAGCAGGTAATGGATAAAGCCAGATAAACCAAGACGACAGCCGCACCCTGGCCCATGGGTAGGAGACACCTTCTAGTAAAGGCCTCACTGCCACCTTATAAATGTTTCACTGCTTGATAATAGCCTGCTGGATCAGAAAGGCTGGGTTCAGCTCTATGCATGTCTGGTCTCTGGAGAAAGAAGAGCAGAACTTTACACCAGGTGTGCAGAGACTGGGGCTGGGAAAGGGGCCCCAAGTTGACTCTGAGATCGTCAGGCTGGAACTGTCAAACCAAGAGCCCCTAAGAATGGTGGCTGCAGAGACGGTGGATCATTAAGAACAATCTCAAGATGATGTGGAGAAAAGGGAACCCTCCTACACTGTTGGTGGGAATGTAATTTGGTGTAGCCACCATGGAAAACAGTATGGAGATTCCTTAAAAAACTAAAAATAGAGTTACCATATGACACAGCAATCCCATTCCTGGGCATATATCTGAAGAAAACCCTAATTCAAAAAGATACATGCACCCCAATGTTCATAGCAGCACTATTTACAATAGCTAAGACACAGAAGCAACCTAAATGTCCATCGATAGACGAATGGATAAAGAAGATTTGGTATAGACATACAATAGAATATTACTCAGTCATTAAAAAGAGTGAAATAATGCCATTTTCAGCAACATGGATGGACCTAGAGGTTATCATACTAGGTGAAGTAAGTCAGAGAAAGACAAGTATCATACGATATCACTTATATGAAGAATCTAAAAAAATGACACAAATCAATTTATTTATAAAACAGAAATAGACTCATAGACATAGAAAACAAACTTATGGTTACCAAAGGGTAAAGGGAAAGGAGGGATAAATTAGGAATTTGGGATTTGCAGATACTAACTACTATATAGTATAGATAAACAATAAGGTTCTACTGTATAGCACAGGGAGTTCTATTCAATATTTTGCAATAGCTTATAATGAAAAAGAATATGGGGGGCAGTGTATAGCTCAGCAGTAGAGCGCATGCTTAGCAATGCACAAGGTCCTGGGTTCAATACCCAGTACCTTCAGTAAAAAAATAATTAAAAAATAAGTGAACCTAATTACCTCCCCAAAATTTTAAAAAAAGTTTAAAAAAGAGAAATATGAAAAAGAATATATATGTATAACTGAATCACTACACTATACACCAGAAACTAACACAACATTGTAAATCAATTATACTTTGATAAAAAAAATAACCACCACCACAAAAGAGAGAAAATTCATCCTGGAGAGATATACGTTGACATATTTACGAATGAAATGATGCAATGTCTGAGATTCAATTCCAAATGACACAGGGAGGCAGAGGAGGCAGGACGGCCAGATGAAGCAGGACCGGCCATGAGTTACTAGCGGTGGGAGTTGGTAACCAGCCCCGAGGGAGTCATTATCCTGTTCTGCTGCCTTAGCCTGTTTCCAGTGTTCCACACGAGAGAGCATGAAAGCAAAGACAGTGGGAGGGTGAACATCCACTCGGCCCCTGTCACCTTCAGGCACTGTGCTGGTGCCTCACATCGGCTATTCCACATAAGTTGCACAACAAGCTTTTGCAGGAGTTATCACTGCCCAAAGCTTACAGAACAGGGAACGGAGGCTCAGCGGTATCAAATAACGCAACTAGTGATCAATAGAGCAAGGCTCAGACCTGGCGCCGAGACCTCAAAGCCCATGAGCTCCCCATGAGTTCAGTCACCGTATCAGTCTTCCCACCTGCCCCGTGTGCCCTTCGCTCATCAGGAGCTACAGTCTCTGGGTCCCCAGCTCTGTGGCCACTTGCAGCCCTTGTGACTTGACTCCAGGGACCCCGAGCCAGTACCTTGTCAGTGACGAGGGGCAGCCGCATGCTCTCCAGCTGGCCTCCAGGTTGGCTGAAGACAAAGTGGTGCTCCTTGGACTTGGGGATGATGAAGTGGAGCTGGATCTCCTCTCCTAGCATGGAGTAAGAGAAGGCAAAGGCGTGCAGGGTGGACTCATAGAGCTGAGGTGTGAGGGGGAAAGGACAGAGCTTGTCATCAGAGTCTGGCCTGACTTCCCAGAAGAACCCGGGCCCGTCGTGGCCACGACTACACCGAGGTCCCTGCCACCTTTGCCCCAAGGCATCTCATGCACCACGTCCAGGCACCCTCCTAGCCCCTTGGCATGACACTGAACAGCCCTAGCAAGCAGGGACTGTCCTCATCCCCACTCGGTGGGTGTGGAAACTGACATCGGGTCTTGGGCTCACTTGGATCCCCAAGTCCAGCCTCACTTCTCGTCACTTCTCTAAAGAGACCACCTCTCACTCTGTCTCTGGGCCCACACTGCCCTCCTGTGGGACCTCCCAGCCTGGCTCTGCCCAGACCCTGCTTATGCCTTCAAAGGCCTCAGTGCACCCCTGACCCCTCGTCCCTCCAGGCTTGTGGCCAGGCTGTGCTGTGTCCTCCTGGGAGTCACAGAGGATGGACATGGGCCAGGACACACGGGCTGTGATGCCCTAGTGTGGCTCTACTTTGAAAGAGCAGAGATGAGTGAGAAACAGATTCCGACCCAGGGAGGGAGCAAAGAGGGATATAACCGAGGAAGTTCACTAAGTCTTCCTCTCAGGGGAGCCTGGACAGAAGAAGGAAAAAGAACAGAACGGGTAGAGGCACGGAAATGCCAGCAGGGAGCTAGCGTGTGCCCCTTGGCGCTCCTCAGGGGCCTGGCTTCACGTCCCCTGCAAGGGTGGCCCAGACCCTGGCCTCCCAGACACAGACCCAGCCCGCCCCACTTCTCCAGGCTCTGTTCATTCATTCACTGCTGACCGTGAAGTGACCAGGGACTAAACCCTTCAAGTCTCTCCAGCTCTTTAACTTTCAAAATCAAGAAAACGTTTTCACTTCTATCTTTCTCTGCCTTGAAAGAAAAACTTCATGTCCAAGGGAGAAAAATGTTAGGAAAGTTTATCTGTGGCAAATGGGATTTCTGCTTATTTGTAATCCTCTAAAAAACCACTCGTATGTATTTTTTAACTTCGTTGATGATAAAATTGCATCGTTATAAAAAATCTGTGCTATTAAAAAGAATATGAATATATGTATGTATATGTATGACTGAACTATTATGCTATACACCAGAAATTGACACAACACTGTAAACTGACTATATTTCAATAAATAAATAAATAAGCCTTAAGACTTCTGAACAAACAAAAATCTGTGCTAAAGGAAGACAGGTGCTACTCCAGTGGCAGTTAAGTTCAAACTGCTGCCTTCAGGCCTTTCTGGGGCAGCCCTGGCCAGGAGCCATCCTGTACACAGGTGCAGAATGTTTACTGCACAGGTGACTGACTGGCTGCCACCAGCTCCTGCTGCCCCTTCCTACTCTTCCCTTGCTTGGGTCTGAAATGAAAAGGAACACTAAGTGTAAAATCCTACCCTCCATCTGTTTCTAAGAAACCAGCCTCCCAGGCCCCCTGTAACCTCCACAGGGCTGTTAAGAGACTATTCAAAATGCAGTTTCGCCCCCATCAGGCCCCTCCTTGGAGTTCTCCCTGACAAGGCCCCATTCTTCCCCACAGCACTGATGCCTCTTGGTCTGACTCTGCCCCAGCTGCCCACCTTCGTCTCCTGGGACCACCCACCCTTCACTCTAAGCTCCGGCAACACGCACTAAAATCACTTCTAATTCCCCAGAGGCCCCTTGTCTCCCCTCTACTGCACGTGCTGTTCCCTTCCCCTTCCGTCTGCCTTGGCCCCGTGGCAAACTCTTATTGATTCTAAAAAACCCTGTCCTCTGCTCCCTGCCCAAAATAGTATCTTCATTTATAAAATGGGGCTAATGATACTGCCTTGTGGGGTTTTAGTGAGAATTAAGTAAGAAAACTGACAGCATGGTTCCCTAACCAGTGCACCTTGTGCGGATCACAGGTGTAGCTTGAACACAAACCCTTTCCCGGGGCCAGCCGGAGCTCGGACAGCCAGAGTCCTGGGTCAGTAGCCTTATCCACTCACCCAGGGTTCAGGGACGGCAAACATCACTTTCTACCGTGAAAAAGGGTTGGGAAGTACTAGTATATGAAAAATGCCTGGCATGTAGTAAGTGCTCAGTAAGTGCAAATTCCTCTCCTGCGCTACATAATTTCTACACTTCAACCACATTGCTTTGCCTGGCAGCTTTACATAGCTCTGAAGTGTTGCTTAAATGCACCTCTCCACCCCTAGACTATGAGTCTTGAGGATGGGGACAAAGTTTCATCTCCGAGTCAGGGTCTGGTGCATAATAAGCACTCAGTAAATGTCTGCCGTACTGAACTTAATTGAAGTTGCTAAGACGTAAAGAAAATTCAGACATCTACAGTCAGTTAACTTTGCCACCAATAAGTGTGTAATCCCAGGGCAATCACTCTTCTGTAATGTCAGCAATAACTTCAGAGATGCTAGAAGGGAACAGAGGAGACAAGAGGACCAGGAAGGAAGGGCTTCCAGAACTTTCCATCTCCCAATTTCGGAATGAAAATGTAAGGAGAACAGGGAAACCACAGAGTCAGCCGAGGCGTGGCACGTGCCAGAGAGCCATGGGGGGCACGGCTGGAGCCACGGGGCCTCGGTCCTACCTGGTAGCGGGGGTGGAATCCCATGTACTGGTGGCACTGCTCGCAGTGGTGGTATGTGTTGTATGCCGCATACTTGGACAGCCTCATCCGCGCCGTCTGACGCCGCACGTAGAGGTCCTCCGGCTTCCGGTACATCCCTCTGTCTGCACAAAAGAGCAGCGCTGAAGGGCAGCGGGAGGCAGGACAAATGCTCCCTCCCGTGCCTACACAAACTGAAACGCTGTGGCAGGATTTTGGGTGACTGCCTGTCACCCGTTTGCCCCGGGGCGACTCGGGGTCAGAGTCTCAGTGGGATAAACTAAGAGGCTACGTTCACATGGTGTCTTGACTCATGGACCTACGGATGGTTCATAAACACATGTTCTAGAATTCGCTCCATAACAACATATATCGATCGCCGACTTAAAATGCAAATACTGTAAAGCATGTGAATCGCCTGCCTGTTTTCAGATGACTTAGCAGAATTAAGATTTTAACACTCAACCTCCATTAGAGAAGGTCTAGGTGAAGAATCCTTCTGTGAAAGTGATCTATTCTGGGAACAATGAAGATAAAATTGCTGGTTTGCAGTGGAGACTGGTGAGTATTTTCCTCTCACACTGCATTCAACCGAACTTCTCTAGTCAGTACTTAGACTCACAGTGGCCACTCACATCCGGTGGTTGCTGCCGGCGACCCTGAAACCAGCAGGGTCACAACAGTGTGAAAGTCACCAGTCCCCGAAGGAGGGAGAAAATGAGAGACAAAGACAGAGGGGGAAACAGGTGCATTCTGTTACAACAAACCAAATTCACAGAGAAACATACATGTCTCTTGTCTAGTAACCAAAACCTCCAGATTATTCCAAGCAGGACAAGCCATCCAGACTGTCCGCACCACTATTCTGCCCCGACTGAGCAGCAGGTCTCCCTGTCCCACGAGGGGGCAGCCTCAGCTCCTCACCAGGCTCTGCCAGTTCACCCACCACCACCAGATAAGTTCATCACTAACAAAATGCAGCTCGTCCTTTTAAGGGACCACTCCCATGTCCTCTGGAAGAAGGTGGAAGCCAGAGATTGGAAAATCTGACCTTCGCTCTTTATGCTCTGATGGTGAGAACAAATCAGACTGGCGTCCTCGTACTTCGGGTCGTGGATGATGTAGTCAAAAGGCAGCTTCTTGAAGAGCTCCAGGTCTGGCCAGGGGTCACCGAGCTGGAGGTAATGCCACTCTGACTCTTCTCTGAGGTCTACGGGATGGGTAAGAACACAGACAGGTGGCAAGACAGGAATGTCAACTGTGCATGAGGATGACGCTGGGAGTGGAGCTGACGTGGTGTCTGCAGGTTCCCAGGGGCCCTCCACTGGACCTCAGATGCTCCCGCACACGTCCCGTTTTCAGGATTGCTCTAACTTGGCAAGAAGCTGCATTCAGATCTATCTGTCCGCAGAGGAACAGCCGTACGCTGTGTTTCCTACGGGGTGGGTTTGCTCTTCTGTCTACACTAACTTCAGCTCCTCCCAATGTACCTACCCCAGTGCTCTGTGCCCCGAATACATCACACTGGTCCCCACCACCAGTGGAACTTAACGCAGTTCTCTCTCTTGCACTTACATCTAAATGCTACCCATCCAGGAAGGCCCAACTCCTATCTCTCCACCTTGAGAAGGCCTCTTCTAAGTGCTCAGGCCCGTTGGCTTCCCCCTGCTGAAGGCCAGCACTCCTCATGGCCCAACCACATTTTGCCATTTGCCGTGTATTACCTTACATTCTAACTGGTATTATCTATGACGCTCACCAAATGTTTATTGGCTAAAAGGTAAAAAAAAAATCTAGTTGGTCTAACTCAAACTTATGTGACATTGATTTTACAGATACGATATACATATTATATATATGACATTGATATATATCACTATATATATCTGCATCTATCCTGCTATATTGTACACATGGGCAGAGTACACATCCACAAGAAAGAGAAAAAATAAGGATAGAAGAGGGAGAGGAATGTTTATTGTGTATTTAATAGGTGCTCAGGGCTTCATATGTGTAACATCATTTAGTCTTCACGACAGCCTATAAAACAAGAACTATGCAATTTTACCAAAGGGAAGCCCAAGGAAATAAGAGAGAATTTGAGAAAATAGTCTTTGGAGTTTAACAGACTGGGTTTAAATCCTGTCTTTATTGCTGGTAAATCCAACAAAATGAGGAGACAGAAACTCAGCAGACCTGTTAACTTCCATCTAAAATACAGTTCCGCACAATGGGAGAAATCGTGGAAAACTCGGTATTTAGATGAAGAGCCAAAAGCCTCTTTCCCTTCTCCTTCAAAGGAAAGACGAAGGGCTGGATGGGCTTCCTTGGTTAAAGTCAAAACTCAGAGTCGGGAGCATCTAAAGAAGTTGTGTGTGTGGAAGTGGCAGGACTGCCTTCCTTGTCAAGGGTGAACACACTGCATGGAGAGACCACGTTTTCCTTATCTGCTCAACTGCAGATGGACGTTTATCAATCAGTGGACGACACATGGTTGTTCCTATGTCTTGGCTATTGTGAATAATGCTGCAATGAACATGGTAAGTATGTGGGGTGATGAGTATATTCATTAGAGTGACTGTGATGATTTCACAGCGTATATCCAATCACCAAGCTGTACACCTTAAACAGACACAATAAAACAGAAGCGCTGTTAGCTGCCAGTGCAGCTTATATGTACACTTTCTCTGCGACACACATGGGACTCCCCACACAAATCCTCATTCCCAGAGCAACAGGTTCATGTACCAGGCCAGGTTTCTGGGCCACTGGAGGGACAATGCAAGAGAAAAATGGAGATGTTTTACAATTAGCCTAAAACAGCTGTTCACCTTAATCAGGGTAAATTTTGTTCTGTGAGTGACGAGAAAAGGCTATTCCCCGCGTATCATGTATTTCCATTCTGCCCCCGGATATGGACCCAGGTGCTCAGTGGCCTGAGTGGGAACCTCCCTGATGGACAAGTCCACCTTCCAGGGTCAGCACCCAAACCTAGTGTAGTTCCAACTCTGCCCCCTCCCCGCTGGGCTCCTGGACGTGTTACTTATCAGGAAAATGGAGTAACAATATCTATCTCTTGATGTGGTGCAGAAAACTAAATGTGGTCATTTATATAGAGCATGTAGCACAGTGTTTGACATTTGGAAGGTCCTCAGTAAACAGCAGTTATTTTTAGGGCAGTAATTTTATCCCCAGCAAGGCCTCCCAGGCACTGTTCTCGTATTGAGCAAAATGACTACAAGGGAAAGATAAAAGCACTCCTGCAAAGGCCCTCGGGACGAGTCTAACCAGGAACCTGAGAATTCCATCTTGAAAGTAAAAGCCATAACCAGAGTCACTTGAGAAATGGACTAAAGACGATTCCAAGCCCAAGCGCCACCAGTGGATAACTCACTGATATTGATCTCTTCTTCGTCGTAAACATCCACTTCCGTCAGCCGAATGAGCATTCTGGACAGGATGCTGAGGAACTGCAGGTAGGCGCCTGTCTTCCCAATCTGTAAAGACAGTAAGTTGGAGCCAACCGTCAGCACGCCGGCGCTGGCTGGGGCGCCTGCCACGCCTCCTGTCATCCATCTTTCTTAAAGATCTCACCTGATTAAGACGAGGGCCGGAGGGGAAACAAAGACTTGTGAGGGAAAACGTGGCCTGAAGAAGCAGGCAGATAGGCAGACTCCCACGGGCAGGAGACCCACCCACCTACAAATCACTGCAAATGCCTTTTCAGTTTTAACTGGCCCCATTTTTTAAGCTGTTAGAAACCGGACTTCATCACAAGCTGAACAAAGGTTGCTTCAAAAAACAAACTGCCCATACAGAACATACTATCTTCAAAGAGTCTTGCAAAATTGCATATTGCTATTCTTAAATTAAGCGACGTACCTGCAGAAAGATAACAAAATTCACTGTGGAAGACATAAAAAGTTGGCATCACATTTCCCTCCTCCTAAGTCCAGGAAAATAAATAAAAGAATTTTCTCTTCTTCCTTCTTTCTTCTTGTATTAGAGAGTCCCCTGTTCCCTCAAGCCCAGCACTTGGCCAATCCAGTGTACCTGGTCTTAGTTCACTGAAGTTACAACTGGTTAAATAGGTACCCCTCCCCGACCCGCTACTCTCAGAACGTGCTTTCAAATTTCTTAGCTCAGTGCCTAGATCATGGTAAGTACTCAACAAATGTTGGTGAATGGAAAAAACTAACTTTAAGAAGAAAATATGAAACACAACCAGGGGGAGTTTCAGAGAAAATATTTGCAATACATACAATTGATCAAGAATTAAAATTTATCATCTAAACAGCTCCTACAAAGCCAAAGAAAAAGTCAAATGGACGAAAGGAAAAATAAACAAGAGAAATAAACCAGAAAGTCAGCAAAGACGTGCCAATGATCAATAAACATACAAAAATAGATTCACCCTCACTAATAAAACTATGATACACTCTTTTCCGGTATCAAATAGGCAAAAATTTTAACGATGAATGACATTCAGTAATGCAAGGGTATGGAGAAACCAGGACTCCTTTTTTAAAAACGTTTAATTTTTTCCTCTTTTTAAAAAATAACTAAAAGGAATATATGCCCATTTAAAAGGTCACAGGGAAATATACACAAGATCTTATGGTAGCTCATAGAGAAAAAATGTGACAATGAACATATATATGTTCATGTATAACTGAAAAATTGTGCTCTTCGCTGGAATTTGACACAACATTGTAAAATGATTATAAATCAATAAAAAATGTTAAAAATAAATAAATAAATAAATAAAAGGTCAAGAAATACAGATCCATAATAAAGTAGAATAAAGTCACAAACCCCAGCCCCCTCCCCATGTAACTACTTCACACCCCTCCTGTCAGGGATTTTTTAGATTTTTTCACACACGCAGACACATGCATACACTGGTATTTTTTTTGTAATTGATATTACACTATGTATATATTATTCTGCAATTTGATCTTTAACATTTGAATATCTTAGAGAAATGTCCATGTCGGGACATAAAGACCCAGCTCAAACTTTCTGTGGCTGAACTGCACGATGCTGCTTAATCCAAATGGATTCAACCAAACGTGACTCATGGAACTTAAGTTGTCTCCAGTTTGGTTTTTTTTACTGCTGTCAGCAATACAAAAATGAGCATTCTTACACATCTTTGTGGGGGGTTTGTGCTCCTTGGGATAGATTCCTGGAAAGGGAATGAACATGCTAAGTGAAAAGGAAGCAAGTCTTGAATTGAGACAGTGATGATGATGGTGACAATGACAATGCCTTCTAGGGGTCAGGCCATATTCCCGGTGCCCTACAATTATTCTCCTGTTTGAGGGCCCCATTTTTGTCATCAAGGTGCTATTATTTTCCTCATTCTCAGATGAGGACCGTAAGGCACAGAGAAGGCTGGAACCGGCCCAGGGTGTTAGGTGATGTTTTAGTCCAAATCTAAGCCCCAGCCGTTCCCTCAGGGCCCATCTTCCACTCCTGCATTGTCTGGCCAAGACCTGATACCCACCTCGTGTGTCCTCCTCACGTGTTCACGACACTTGACACTCACACCTCCCAGGTTCTGCCAGGCTGATAGGTGAAACAGTCTTTTGTTGTTGGAAAAACGCAAAGAGCTGGAGGATGGAGACAGGCCTCCTGCCACCCTGTCCTGTTTCACCAGAGTCTTGCAGGGCAGAACCAGGGGTTGGGCTCCACTGCCAGAGTAGGAGTGAACTGTACACACTGGCTGTGAGGACTGAGTGCAATAACGTGGGAAATGCGGAACTGTAGTCTGAAGGAGCAGGAGGCACTCGCAGAGAACCCCTCCATCCATGCATGACACAAAGGAGAAAACTGGGGTCAGAGGATGGAGGTCACCCCGCCGTGGGGGAAAGGGAGATCTGCCCACCCATCTACTTTGCGACATCTGAGATTCCGCTGCAGAAACAGCAGACACGAATAGGGAGTGCTGTCGGCCCCAAACCTGCCTCTGGGCGGGAACACAAGCCCCCACGCAGCCTGGCCGCACAGGGCGGCACCCACCTGGGGGGGCCCGCTGAGCAGCAGGCGGCGCGGGTGGAAGCCGTCCACGCGGCCCTCGGCGCGGTTGCCGTAGTCCATGTGGCTGGGCCGGGGCACTGTCCACTGCCGGTAGTACAGGGACTGCTCCGTGGACGTCATCGTCTTGCTGAGCAGCGGCCGGAACGAGCTGGCCCACACGACCGAGTGCGAGGGCAGGAGCGAGGCGGCCTTGGGCAGGCCACTGCTGTCGGTGGCCGTGACCATGTCGTACACCAGCTTGGGCAGGAAAACTATGGGCGGCTGCCGGCAGGCCTTGGTCATGGAGCACTGGGAGGCCTGCAGGACGAGCGGCCCGGCGGCAGGCACCGTGGACAAGGAGGACGAGCCCGAGGAGGAGAGCTGGGAGGAGGATGAGGGGGCCGACCTCCGGATGCTCTGCCGGCCGGTCCTGAGGCCGGGGTCCGGCGGGGGGGCCAGCCCGGGGCTGTGCCGGCTGATGACGGCTGGCGGCTCCCACCCGGCCCGGAGCCTCTGCCTCTCACCGGGGGCCCTGCCCTCCTCTGTGGGGCCGCCAGGCGGCGGGGACCGGGCCTGCTCCCCCTGCGAGGGCCCCGCTGGGGGGACTGAGGACTCGCCGCAGAGCGCAGAGCCTGGGGAGAGACGGTCCGTCAGTCAAGGCCCTGAAACTGCAGCTCCTGCTTCCGCAGCGCTGACTACCTTCACTTGACAGTTATTGGGAATTTCGTCAATGAATCCCATCTCTGGTTAAATAGAGACTCTTCTGCCCTTCTGACAAAGCCAGGAGGTGCTTCAGGGAGAGGGCCAGCACCACTCGCCTGGGCCCACGCACGCCGCGATGGCCTCTCCTCTGCACCCCTGCCCGGTCTGTCCCGGAACCCCTCACCTTCAGCACTCAGCCTACACGCCTACTCCACTTCTGTGCAGGTGGCTCCTGGAGCTCAAACCTCCCCTCTGCACAGCACAGTGGTGCTTCTGGTTCAAACTGGCAGCGAAACTCACAGGACTGAAAAGGCTTGACTAATAATACAGTCACTCAGCTTCCAAAGGAGTTCAAGCAGCACGGACAGCAGCTACCCAAAGGCAGGGTTTCTTTTGCCCTCACCCCGACATGGACCATGTTGAGGGCCATGGTGAGTGTGAGTCCCTGGACACCCAGGAGCCACACGCTGGTCCCTGTCTTTTATATTAAGCCAGCCACGTACGCCCAGGGCCTGCATGCCAGCTCCGAGCAGCCCCGCAGACCTCAGGCTCCACAGGAGCCACATCTATGTCTCAGCTCTGTCATTTTCTGGGAGACGAGGGAGACTGTTTCCCAGGCAGGCCTGATACCCCTTTGCCACCCTCCTGGGAGAGGCCGAGCCCCTCCCCATGGCACTTGGTTCAGCCTGCACGCTGCTCACCACACAGCTCAGGCAACCTCCCCGCTGGATCTGAGTGCCCCAGGCTTCTGCAGCCCCCAGCCTGCATCTGGCTCAGGTACAGACTGCTCACGGAAGGAAGTGATGCGGCACCTGCCTGTCCCCTCGGCTGAAGGCCTGACCCCCGATAAACTGCCTCTCCCGTGGACAAGGGACCTGAGCTGATCAGCTCAGAGTCAGTGGAGGAGCTGAGGACCAGGGGTGGGGAGGATGGGCATCTGAGAATCTGGCCTGGGGGAAGGGGGACAAATGGGCCCAAAAGACATCAAAGGGGCCTGAGGTGCCAACAGTAGCCCATGGGGACCCTGAGGTCTTCACCCACTGCCCTAGGTTGTGAGGCCCAGACTGGCAGGACCCAGAAGACAGAGATCCACACGGACGTTTCTCTCCATCCACCCTCAGACCTCAGTTGGCCTGCCCTGGTTGAGTCCAAGGGGGACTCTGTCAGTCTATGAAAAAGGGACCTAGACCTGCCCAGGCTGACTCGTGTCACCCCTCCATCCTGACTCATGTGGCTGTGGCCAAGTCTCGTCTCCCTGAGCCTCCTGAAATGTGGGGATTTCCTCATCCCTCAAATGTGGGGGGAGGGCCACACCCAAGGCCACAAGAAGCATTTCATCAGAGACCCCCAAAATCTCAGGACTGTCTGGGGAATCCTAAGAAAGTCACCTCACCAGAGGAGAGAGGCTGGTTGACAGCTCAGACATTCTACTCCACCTGAAGATACTACACAGACCAGCATGTCCCAGCATCTACCAGGAAGCTGTCAGGCTGGATGGGGTGGGGGACGAAGTACCACACCTCTCTACTCTCATATACAGGTCATCCTTCTCAGCTCGCCCCGTGGCGCCCTGTGTTCCCTCTACTGTGTGGGGGCAGAAGGACAGATGGCT